TCGTTAGAGCGCTGTGAGCCCCGAGCGTGCCACCTAGACGACGGCCACCGACATCATCAACTTCTCCACACGGCCCGGTCTGAGCACACAGCGCAGCAGCGCCAGCTCGACGCGTATGTCGCTTTCGATTGATCGTTCAGGACGACAAATTTCCGAACCACGTTTGGAGGCTGTTTGAAGGCATTCTGCACATGTTAGCCCGGAGGAGAAAAGGCAGCACACGATGTATGGAAATAGCAGCGTACGGTGCATTCAACCACCTCAAAAGCAATATTCATCACCGGATCCCAAGTACGCCACGAGCGCTTTCACAATGCCAACAAACATCGATCTTCCACACGATTGTTGCAGCGTAGTGAGCCACGCGAACGGACGAGGTGGTGTATCCGGATGATGCGTCCGCAGGGGTGGCAGGGCTATGCCCCAACCCTCAGCTACCACCCAGTAACCGATTCAAATGGTGCAGACCGACGAGTTGAGCGAAATACGAGCTCCATCGCACGTCTATCGCTTCATTCCGGCTCGAATAGACCAGATGCGTTTGGATATATGAAGCACTATACATCACATGAGTGTGTATCATATGAGTAAATCATCATATCTTCCCCACAGGATTGAAAACATCTCAAACAGTGAGGAAGTAGACAGGTATATCACGCTTGCGAATTTGAATTCATTGCTGATACTAACCGCGGCATTTGTTTAAAAAAAAACAGCAAAGAAAGTGACCGGGTATTGCCGACTAGTTTTGAAGAAACGAGATTTGTTGCAACATTCAGACAGAAACTCATTCGGAAGCTTCATGAATTGCCTGCTAAAAACTGTGTGACAGAAACCCAGGGAGCCTCCTGAGAGCACAAACGGGAACACATTCCAGAATGAAGATCTCTTCGGATATTCGCCTGCCGAGTCTTGTGTCCCTGCCTGCTGTCGGCGGGCGCCGCCCTGTGCTGCCATTCGTCCGTCGCCGACGCCCGCATGACAGTCAGCCATGCAACCGTCTGACTGACTGATTGCCATGCGACATGACTGACCGCCATGCGACCTGCTGACTACGCATGACTGAGTGCGAACTGATCGTCTGTTTTGTCGCATGCGTGTCCCGTCTTTTGAGTGTTCTGGACGTAAAATGTGAAGCCATTTTGTGCCGAAGTCCCATGCCCTTCCCCCTTCCTATTCTTATCAGTTCAGTTCACTTCAGTTCACTGCATTTACGAGTTATTCCAACAAGTGCCTTATTGTCTTATTCGGTATAATTAGAATGGTGATTCATGCATCAAAGCAACATTAAAGCATGACAACAACGCAAACATATTCGTACGTTATCAAGCATTCAGCCTTCCACACAACTTCGTCAAAACTTAACCAAATTATAAACCGTCAACACATGCTACATAACAGAAAGCAAGCAATGATTGCACAACAGGACGGCCCAGCCCTCTGTGCTGACACGAAACTCGTCGCGGTTTCACGAGGCGGTAACGGTCGGCGGTAAGCGACTCCGGCACGAGGCCGCGCAGGACGAATAATCCCTGCGTGCCATCGACAGGCAAAGGCGGGCGGATCAAGGGCGCCCACCGCTGCCGCCCGGGTGGCACGCTAGCGCGCAGCGGCACATAGAGCGAACAGGGGCCGGATCGTCACCGGACACCGCGAGCCATTTAAGGCAGCGTCACACTTTTTGTACTTGTCAGTTATTGTTACATCAAACGCGCACGATTTGATCAGTAGCATCAGTTTTCTCGAAATCCTTCTTAATGCTCGAACCACTTCGGATCAGTGCCATGCCACTGCAGCTTCGTCAGAAAGACGCAATGGTCGACACAACAAAACGCACGGTTTAGATCAATGGAGCTGACGGTGATAATGCTTCCAACGTCCATCCGACACACCGCCCCGTCAATGGCGTCGACCAGGGCGTCTTCTGTTGAGTGGCAAGGTCTGAAAGCGCACTGCGGTGGAGCTAAAAGATCGTGAGCAATAGGATGGGACGACAGCTGCACGCACACGACTTTTTCACCCATTTTGGACAGTGCAGGGAAATTTGACGTAGGTCTGAAATTACTAGCAATGTCGTGATGGCCAGATTTGCGAAGAGGGACAACAGATTCAGGAATCGGGGAAAAACGCATGAGGCGACGGAGGTGTTGATGAAATAAAGCAAATGTGGTCCGATGACAGGGAAACGTTCCCGTAAGGCATGCGGTGCCACGCCGTCTACTACCACCGCCCTGGATGATGACAGTTTGCTCTTATCTCTCGCTAGTTCGAGCAGAGTCGCCTGACGCAGCAGTGAAGGGTAGTGGTCACACACAGTGGCCTTGCTTGAAGAGGACAACTGCCGAGCCGACTGACTTCCCGCTGCCAGTGCGGCGGCGATGCGTGGGCCGACGGAAGCGAGGTGTCGGTTAAAGTCGCCGGCCTTTTCTAGTTTTCTCAATGTCTCGCCAGAAACCAGCACGGTCGGTGAGCATGGCAAAAGAAACCACAAGAAACGACGCCTCGCCGTCGCAAAGCGGCCTTTCACGCAGTTCCGAAAGCGCCAGTGGCCCGAAAGGTATGCTTCGGCCCAAGATTCGCGTCATACTCGGTACGCATCACCGTGCTGCCGCATCAGACGTCGCGGGCCATGGCTGTCCTCAACCCATGGACAGTGAGAATGACGACAGAAATATGCGGTGTAAAGGGGGGGGGGGGGCAAATGCACGTCCACCACACTCCACCATACGCGCATGAACTTGTCGCTTTCTGCCCCACTACCTCATGCCGGTAACTGGACTCCAGTCCGCCTGCAGAAGATCGAGGCAGAGCGCATGCCTGTTTACTGGGCGCCATGGACACACGGCGAAAGGCGTCGGGCGACAGCGGGGACGAATTAGTGGTGCGCGGATGCTGGTGGTCAGATGGTCGGCGATCGGCTCAGTCCACACCCAGACAGATGACTCCAGGTCAGGAATGTTGGCCATGATGTGATTTAAGCGAGTAAAGGACTTAGACCTAAGAGGACCCTTCCGTGGGAGCCTCGGTCGGGTTCAGATGCGTAGGTGTCTTGATGAGTTGAACATACTGAGGTACTGCAAAACAGAGCTAGCAAAAAGACGCAGGCCAGGGCCGTCCGCGCTGAAAAGGTCAATATTTATGTCACCCAGGCAAAAGGTCCGCTCGCCCAGGCTCACAACAGCATGTAGTTGGTCACACGGATGGGCTGTCCGGACCGTTCCTCACCGGCTGAGACGGCGGACGGTGGGGGACGCCCACAGAAACAGGGCGACGCGCGCCGCCGAGATCGACACCAAGGGCAATTGGCAGGCACAGCCTTTCCTCTTAATTGGAAGGACGACCACGGGGAGGTTTCCCGGCATAGGATGGCATCATCATCGCCTCGGGTTGCTCCGGAGCGGTCTCAACGCACCATTCTATACCCGGGAAACACCAGCCTTCTGTCCGTGGAGTATCTGATAACTACGTTTCAGTGGCACACACCATGTCAAGCTTTTGCCCCCGAAGAAAAGGAAGTACTGAGTCTACCTTGAGTACCACTGACCGTCCATTCGAGCGACCAATGCCCAGTTTATGTGACGGATCACTAGAGTTGGCAGATGACCGCTGTTGGAAAGATGACGAGTCTGTGAAGAGCGAGCCGGGTCGGTCGTGCAAGGCAGCGTGGAGCATGGCCTATTGGTGCCGAAGCCGATGCATTCAGTGCCGTGGAATCGGTGCTTGTTGGCTTAGACATGTTTTGAGGTTCGAAGGTGTTCGTTGGCTACGTATCGGTTGTTGCCGTGCACTAACCGGAATCGGTTTGTCCTAGTCACGCTCCTCTTTAAGTCTTCGTAGCTGTTCGGTAGCGTGCGCACAAACTGTCCGAAATGAGTGTCTTTCCCCATCGTGTCGGTTATGGGACGTTAAAGTCAGACACTCGCCACGGCCTAAAACTTACACGTTCGACCACACGGCGGACAGACGATAGGTCATACTGATCACATGAGGCATGCGGGCGCTGTAAATTGACACTCATTAGCGCTCATCGTGCTCATAATGAGCAAACACGTGGGTCGGGGAGGGGGCCAACAGGAATGTCGGGTTTCCCACTGCACTCACAGAAGCTCGAAACGTTACAACTTGAAGTCTTACTTTAAACACAATATCGACAAGCACTGAATGTGGTCAGAAGACTATCTTGACGATCATTGAAAGGGAATGAAGGCCATACAAGGAAGGAAGGTAGAAAGGAAAGGAAGGGAAGAAGATCAGTTTCCCTGGGCCGAAAGGCCGGAAACCAACAGAAACCAAAGATGTCTCATGCCTTTTGCTGCGCTCCTGCTAAACTAGAACGGATCCTGGTATCATGCGGGATCACAATGATCCGTGTTGCCGATAAAGTGATGTGTCCAAATTAGAACCGTGCCTGTCGCGGCTCGTCCCCCATCTAGCCGCATCCACGGGTGGGCATAACGCGCTGTCGCACCCCCCCCCCCCCCCACCCCCGAGTCCGGCGGGGCCGTATACACATCCAACTTCCAGACATCCGCTCCCGCCTGCCGGGATTTTCAGAGTTGAAAATAGCGCGCTCGAGACTTTGAATTCTCTCTTGTGTACGTAACTCAAGCGTTGCCCATGCTCATGACGACACGGGAGGGTAAAACTAGGGGTAGAGGCCTCCTCATAGGATTTCGCTGCTCCCCAAGTCGTTCAGCCTAGTTGGCGTGGAGAGCTAAGCATCCAAATTCCTCCCCGTTGTTCCCCGATCCAACCCCAGCAGTTGTCATGTATCAGGTATCACGAGACAGGAAATTGAACTGTTTGTGTCGCCTGTCACGTGATGAAAGTAACAGATCACCTGTTAGCTCAGGCCTCCGAAGTAAGTGCAGATACTAAATGTTAAAAAGCGGCCACCCTCCAACGGTAAGACGCCATGCACCGGGCGCTTCTACAAGACCAAACGACACTGACAAGCTCACAAACGACCATACTGTTCACGGCTGTTCGCAAACACCGAGTGAAAAGGTGGAAACATATATTAGAGAAATAGCGCGCGTAACACAATTTGTTCGAACCAACATTCCCATGCCAAGTCATAGCCGTACAAAATACAACACAAAGTAACGCCCAAACCCGCATTTCGGCAGTCCGCAAACACCGCAACTAATGTGCCTACACCAACGAAAACAATGTCAGATCTTTGGGGAAAACGCCTTCTCCGACTTCGGGTCGCTTCCACAATTGTCCCAGCCACTGGTGATGCCACCCAACGGCTGAAGATTCGGGAGGGGCGGGGGAGGGAGGGGGAGCGGTGCAGTGTTGGCGTTTGAGATCCATTCTGACCATGCGACGCCGTGACCTTTGAGTTGAATTTAAACACCAATGAATGTCGCGTCGCTTCTCCTCCCTCCAGTGGCGCCACCTCCCGTCGTGGCGCAGGGCGTATCTTAGTACTAACGTTGCGACAACTCGCGTTCACAATGGGAAGTAGCCTCTGGATGCTAACAGCTGATAGTGGAGTATCAAGAGCAGCTGGGTTTGTAATGCGCGCCTCCAATATCGTTAAGTTGACCAGTTTACGGCACCTTAAGGATACTGAACGCGCTAAATTTTGCTGCATGCCAGCAACATCGCAATAGCAATAAAGATGAGCCTAAATCAGCCAAATAAAGCGTTCATTGAGAAGCTCCTTAGACAAAGATCATGGCGAAAAAAGACGAGCCCGATGCTAAAAGCCGCATCCCACAATAACAATTTGTAGCCATTTGCACAGCGTAGCCCGTCTACGGTATGGACATCAAACATCCAGCATCACTGGACACCGCGTCAGACGACGCCCCTCCAGACTCTGGGGATTACTGCACACCCAACACCTGCCATCGCTGGCAACCACCACGTCACAAACCGCGCAGCACCGCTGGAGCACAACGGAGTGCTACACACACGCCATCACAGAGCTTTTTAGCATGTAAAACATTCAAACAACGGTCACCGTAACCCTTGCAGGATTGCGGTGACCATGTCCAGCTGCGGGGTCGCGCCACTTCAGACTGCGACGATCCAAAGCGGCATCAGGGTCTCACGGAGAGAGCAGGCTCGTGGTAACATCACCACCCGGCCGCGGTCGGAGGCCGTGGTAAATCTGACTGCGCCCTCGGGGTCTCGGGGGCCGTCCGGCAGCGCCGGACGTGGTGAAAGAGGGATGGGGGTGCGTGGGGGTGACTTGGCGGCCGACGCTGCCGCGGCGTCCCGCGAACACTGCAGCCCACGAATTATCCAGCATAACCCGTCACCTAACCGGGAACCAGTTCCCCCCACCTAAAGAAGCTATAGAGTGCAGTGGTTTATTCGACACTCGTCCCATTACCTCCAAACAGCAAACACGGCCGCGGCCGACCGCGGTCGCACGCAGCACACCGTAGCGGCACTCGAAGCCGTCAGAACATCGGTCACCAGCGGCGGCCTCTCGAGCAGCGGTGACTGCGGGGCGGCGGCGCGCACGAGCTACGGGACGGGGACGGGGCCGGGCCGCCGGCCGCCGGTCGTCGAGGCGCAGCGTCAATGCAGCTGCCGGGCCTTGTGACCGTTGGCAGCGACGGCGGAGGGCGGCGCCTTCCCGGCCACGCTGTCCAGGACAAGACCTGTCGACAGGCACATCACAGTGTTGGAGCATCAGCAACAGACGGCCGGAAGTGCCACGGGCAGGTGTCTTGCATGTGCATGCCGCTCCCTGCATGTCCGAGGGGCACACGGATCTGCTACGTAAACCCTCGACCGCTGAAGCGCTGATTTGACGTCAGCAAGTAGCTACGATGCATTATCCAATCGCCCACGCATGGCGCCTTTCGATGCATCAATGCTGGCAGGCTAGCCGCGGTCGCAGACATCCCGCAGCAGGGCGTGGTAATGCGCGTGTGACCTTTGGATGGCGTGGGCTGACAGCGCCGCGCCATCCATGACCTGCGTCAGCCCACTGGTGGGCACCCAAGCACCCACTGGCAGGCTCTGGGCCAGAAACAGGCGCAGTTCCTACAGAGGTGGGCGGACACACCGGCAGCTCCAGACCAGTGCAGTCCATCAGACAATACTCGCTCGACAGCCACAAATGCGAGCCAAATGGATATTGGAGGGAGCGCGACGGAAGCCAGACGCCAATGAGGCAGCACGGCGGCAGAGTACAAATGTAGCCGCATTTCACACGTGGGGTGTGGCCGGGTAGAACGAGCCAATATCAGCCAGATAAGAATGACTGGCACCTGATCAATAGCTACACCTTACCCCACCCTTATTCGATCAGGTCGCCTTAAACCTGGAACCAATGCATCCAGTTTGAAACAAGCCAAGCCAACTCCAGTAAAACGGCAATACTATTGGGCATAGTACCATTTCATGTCCACAGTAGTCCACTCACGTTCGGTCGCCAGGTAAAACCGACAGATTTTCAATACAACTACAAATAATTGCGGTGTGGTTATCCGGCTTTAAAGGAGTGTTTAGCGCTCGACAAAATTCAAGCGCATTTGGCGCGATGATATGTGGCTCTACCGATAGTGTAACTGCACAGGATCATTATTCAGATCATCACCGTAGTGTTACGAGCATACATATATACGTTGACGTACATACACGCTTTGTCTTAATGCATGCAAGCTTTAGCATAATGAGCGATTCATTCACAAATTGCCAATGCGGGCAAGCATGAAGGCAAGGTGGGAACAGGTTGAGTAGCTACACCGCGATTAAGAAGCTACCATGCGGTGCTTGACCAAGCGGTTCCTGGACGAACACAAAGCTAAACGGCTATATTGTGGTAATCTTCGGAGCTAATACGAGCTCGTCTTTTGTACACGACTGTCGCACGCCTTTTTGGCCTAGGCTACAGCGACAATATGATGTGAAGATACAATATCGAATATGAGGGGCGCTGAATGAAAACAACCAACAGCACCTCCAACAGATAATACGACAGCATGCACAGGCCAATCTACAAGCGATTAACAATGCCTACGAGTTTCTCTGGTACCCGGTCGCCATCACGGACCGCGTGCGGGTGTCAGGGCTTCATTCCAGACACATGTCTGCACGGCCCCCACGTCCTAGCCGCAGATCTGTTTGATCTTCACAATCCAAGGCAGAAGCGCGCCCAGCTGCTTGAATGTTTCACTTTCAGGGTGCGTCGACAACTGAGGCTCTTTTAGGCCATGGCAGAACCGACCGCGACTACATAAAAACGTAGTCCTTAAAGCAAGTAAAGGGAAGGTTCTCGGTGTGTGTAGAGTGCGATATCATACAATCCTATACCCCTGGTGGGATTTGCTCCGACGACGAAAACAGCTCAATACCACATGATCGGAAAAGAAAATCTAGACCCTGAGTCATCAACGCCTTAGGGCATAAGGAGCTCATTTATAAAACGCCTTCCATCTTCATGCCACAGTCGAGTTGCCGGACTGAATGACACTGACCTCACTCACAAAGTATTCCCCAATCGGTGAGCCCTGGCCACGAAAGCGGGACAGTCCACGCCAAATGGCCGACGCGGTACTGAAGATTGTCGGATGCCGCCAGAAGCACGCGGCACGGCCGACATTAGACGAGCCTCGTGCTCTAGCCCAGCAGTCTGGCGGGCAGGGTGCTGCACCCGGTACCTCGTCCGCACGGACAGTCGCGGTTGAAACCACGCGGGGACCCCGCGTCGATCCGAGCCATGTTGCCCACGTGACTACCCACGCTCAGCTCGGCATAGCCCAGCTGCGCATCGGCTGAAATCCCTCCCCATGAGAGGATCATTTGCTCAGGGGTTTGTAACCCGTGTACAAACGGGGTTTGTAGCCCGTGTCACACAGGCCGTGTCCAGATTCTGGCATGTCACCACCTGATGCAGGGCTTCGTGTGCCTGTTTCCCCTATCTCGGCATCCACAACGTTGTGCTGTGTCTGCCGCTCCTGACCCATATGTCTTGTCCCTCAGCTGGCATGCGCTATCTCCGCCCCAGCTAACGCGCCTCTCCCCGCCGCCCCTGACCCATGTGTCTTCTGTCACTTAGCTAGCATGCGCTATCTCCGCCCCAGCTAACGCGCCTCTCCCCGCCGCTCCTGACCCATGTTTTCTGTCCCTCAGCTAGCATGCACTATCTCCGCCCCAGCCAACGCGCCTCTCCCCGCCGCTCCTGACCCATGTTTTCTGTTCCTTAGCTAGCATGCACTATCTCCGCCCCAGCCAACGCGCCTGCCCTTCCCCGTCGCTGGTCCACAGTTTCAGACTACCATCGATCGCCCGTGTAAACAGGGTGTACATGGCGGACTTTACGCCGTTCGGCACTTCGAAACAAAGCAAAATACTGGATGACGTTCCCATGACGAACGTTACGTCTTCTATGTAACAACGTGTAGGGATAGTGTACTGCACTGCGCTTAAGTCATCAAACGGCATCATCTCCAACGATGCCATTACAGTACTTCATATGAGCCAGAAAGGCCTTGAGCTGTTTGATTTTTTTAGCATTTTGAGTTTTGATGCTGCTGATGCTGACCGTCGGCATACCAAAAGGCGCTGATCACACGACCATGCATCCTCCCGGCAACTTCACTCGTTTCTCTCACATAAAATTAACCACTACTATGGCATGCTTTAACGCTTATGTTGCCAGGGCAACGACCCATAGAAGTTTTGGCTGGACCACGTCAGTTTAGAATGTAGTTAAACACAGCATTCGCTGGTGATACGCCTTAACATCATCGTGCTTGTGCCTGGCTTACTCCTATACAGCGCTATCGCCACTGGATCCCAAATGGCATTCCGACTTCGGTATACGTCACCGCCCTAAGCTGACCGTTACGTTCAGTTTTTAATAACATGCCCGCAAATTACGAAATGCACTGCTTGTCCTCAGGTGTAGGCTTGACAGCGCCGCTCCTTTATCAAAGGTCGTCACATTTACGCCGGAAGGCTGTCGTTCAAAACTGCATAACGCGTCAACAGACTTTTTCTCACTATCACTATTCTGCCAGGAAACAGCGGGGCATGCATCCGTTCCCCCTTCCGGCAATTCTACGCTGGCGCGCACCACCACCATGTAGACATCACATAAGCAGACCACATTTTGTGTTCTTCTGCCGAACGGCTGAAGACAAATACAACTCGACTACAGATAAAACGGAACAGCTTAATCGAACCCAAGATAACAACAGTTCATCCAACTAATCGCGGTTGGATATCCCCCACCTTCTTATACTTGGCGCATGTCTTATGAAAGGGAGTTACGTATTCTCACTGCACAAGGAACAGCTTGGCACAAGTTCCCTGGTCGGCATTTTTTGCCCCTAGGTACAGCACGTATGACAATGGGACACAATAACGAAACGGTCACGTTCGCTCTCGTTTTACGGGTGCCGCAACGCTACGGCTTATGCAACTGCTTGCGTACCATGACTAAAATTTACGTAATATCTTCCGTGGTCACACCACCCCGGTCCCTTGGTTCCCAAGACATGTTAGGTCGGCTAATCATCGGCTGCAATGGTCACGACTGGGGCAAGGAAATTCACAAAAAAAACAGCCGGCTGCCGAGGTCACTGCTTTGCGGCAGGAGACGGAGGCCACACGACGGGGTCGGAAAGGGGGCATGGGCCTGAGGAACTGTCCCGACGGGTCACTGACTTGTGACACATGTCAAAGATGCGATTGGGGGTGAAGACCCTAACGGAGACCACCGACCTACGACATGGCGTCAATGATGCGTGACAGGAGTCAATAAGCCAACTCTTCCACGCATCACTCACGTCAGGCCATGCGTGGCACACGTGACGTTTGTCGTCACCACGCATGCCGGGAATCTCTCTTCCTGACAAGTCATATTTTTATGACGGGGCCAAAGACGCACGGTGGCAGGCCGTCGACCTGTGACGGGCGTCAACATGCTGGTGATAGCCGCCATCGGCCTTGTGTCGGACCTCAGACAGGGGGCCACTGACCTGCGAACACAGCCGTGGCGCCCAGCCACTGACGCGAGCTGAGCGAGTTGCCGAACAAAAACACGGAGCCGAGCACGGTGAAGAACTTGCGGGTGGTGGTGATGATCGAGCAGGGCAGCGGGCCAAATTCGCTGATCGTCATGAAGATAAAATACTGCGAGAGCGGAGAGCGATGTCAGACGACGGAGCGGCCTCTCGGTCGCCGGTGATCGCCACCCGACCGGCAAGGCCAGTAGCGGCACAGACATCCTGTGAGAAACATCACAGCCAACCGCCAGCAAGTGCTCCAGGCACGACTGACGCAAATACATCGCAAAAATAGATACACAGAGCCCTGAGACCCAGAAACGGAAAGAGACAAGGGCGCGGCAGCTCTTTGAGCCATAATAGATGGCGTGATAGCTCCTTGAGCCGCAACGGCTGGTATGACAGCTCCTTGAGCCATAACAGCTCCCGCTGCGATAAAACCGTTCAAGCGGTGCTGGTGCTTTGACGCTGAAAGGTGTCATTCCAAATTCAAAGAGGCAGCACACCATTAGTGTGCGAATCCACTGTACCCAAGAATACAAAAGCACCGCTATTTGTCACATCTGATTCGGCACGCGGCATCATGCGCAAGAATGGGAGATTGCGGGGTTTACACAGATATTACAGAGGGCTGTTATAGCGGCGAATGGCTTCAGGGCCCTGGATTTGGGCCCGTCTTAAACCTGTCAATCAGCGAACAAGCCAGCCACACGGAGCTGGCCGACGACCGGCCTGTACTGGAATGGATCCCGCAGACATTCGCACGCAGGCAGTGATATTGTTGGCCTCATAGCTACTTGGATAACCACACTTGTTAGGGGGTCCAGCGCCGCTCATCCCATCCAAGGTCATTTGGCCTTGCGATCTCTTACGCGGCTCGACGCAGGGGGACGGAAGGCGAAAACTTTGGCCAGTAATCATATCTCAACCCAGTGGAGACTTGGAGAGCGGTTGCTGGGAGGGCGCTCTCCAGCACTTGACAATCCCCACCAACTTTTTGAATAATAATACACCATCCAACCCAGTGATGCGTGCAGCTTTAGCCAGCCTTTTCAGACTCCAAAATGCATGGTCGGGCTCATAGACATACGCTTATTTCATGCACTGGGTGACCAACGTGGACTTAATAGCGTGGTACGCAGTGATAACCAACCCCGGGCGAAAGCATGTGGTACATCATGTGGCACATCATGTGGCCGGGCAGCATCCGCTCATGACCACTTGCGAGCACCGGACACCACAAAGACGAGCTTCCGTCTCGTTACGGACACCACGTCAGCGGTTCGGTCACTGGAAGCCAGAGAACTGAGAGGAGGCAAGGCCATTCTACCCCAGGGTTGGGCGGTGGTAGGCGCTCGTCGGCGGACCGTTGGACGCGCTGGTCCGTCCAGTGGCGCACCGCTGGGCGGTGGCAGCGTGTCTCGAGTCGGTTGGGCAGTGGTCCCTCGCCCCATGGCGGACCGTTCGACAGACCGGCCGGCCGGCGCTCGGTCTCCAGTGGGGCCGCTGGGCTGCGGCGTCCCATCTGGGGGCCTCTACCAGCGTGCTGCGTCTACGGCGCACTGCTGGCCGGCGGCTCTACGCACTGCTAGCCGGCGACTCTACGCCTAGAGGTGAGCTGGATGACGCGGACTGCGCCAGGTGGCCGCCGCCCGCCAGCTCACCTGGCCCAGGGCCGAGGCTATGGAGAAGCTGACCAGCTCGCCGGCTACGTGCGGGTGGCGCTGCACGAAGCCGATGAAGCCGAACAGCTCACCCGTCACGACTAGGGCTGAAAGCGAGCCAGCCGTGAGTGGAGACAGCTCTTCGCCGGGACACCGGTGACTGCGCGCGGCAGCAACACATGGTAACGGTGACTGGGAGCGCAGCGACGACGGCGGCGGTAACCGGAGACGGCATCGACAGGAGACCACAGTGACAGAGAAAATACCGAGGGGAACATCTCGCAGCGTGATAACAAGCAGGATAGACTGCTATACCATCGGACCTGCCGTCTCCGACCTACCGACGCTGAGGTACATCACGCCCCAGAGATTCATGTGGTACATCATGTGACCAGAGCTGCTCTTGTACTCCGTCTTCATCCGCTCCTGAAGCGCACCGGTCAGCCCGTCCATCGCCAGCGACAGCAGCTGGGTACAGACAGTCTGCTGTTAGCGATAGCAGCTGGGCACAGACAGTCTGCCGTTAGCGACAGGTACAGACAGTCTGCCGTTAACGACAGGTACAGACAGTCTGCCGTTAACGACCGCAGCTGGGTACAGAAAGTCCGTCGTCAGCGACAGCAGCTGGGTACGGAGAGTCTGCCGTTATCGACAGGTACAGACGGTCCGTCATCAGCGACAGCAGCTGAGTACAGACAGTCTGCCGTTAGCGACGGGTACAGACAGTCCGCCGTTAGCGACAGCAGCTGGGTGCAGACAGTCTGCCGTTAGCGACAGGTACAGACGGTCCGTCGTCAGCGACAGCAGCTGGGTACAGACAGCCTGCCGTTAGCGACAGGTACAGATAGTCTGCCGTTAGCGACAGCAGCTGGGTGCAGACAGTCTGCCGTTAGCGACAGGTACAGACGGTCCGTCGTCAGCGACAGCAGCTGGGTACAGACAGTCTGCCGTTAGCGACAGCAGCTGGGTACAGACAAACTGCCGTGAACGACAGGTACACACAGTCCGCCACCAGCGACGGCAGCTGGGTACAGACAGTCAGCCGTCAGCGACAGCAGCTGGGTGCAGACAATCTGCCGTCAGCGACAGGTACAGACAGCCCGCCGTCTGGTGGATATAGACAGTCTGTCGCCAGCGACAGCAGCTGGGCACAGACAGTCTGCCAAGAACGACAGGTACACACAGTCCGCCGCTAACGACGGCAGCTGGGTACAGTCTCTCTGCCGCCAGCGATAGCAGCTGGGTGCAGATAGTTCGCCGTCAGCGACAGCAGAGGGCATAGGCAGTCTGCCGCCAGCGACAGTAACTGGGTACAGACAGTCTGCCGTTAGCGACAGGTACAGACAGCCCGTCGTCCGCGACAGGTACAGCCTGCTGTCAGCGACAGCAGCTGGGTACACACAGTCTGCCGTCAGTGACAGCAGCTGGGTACAGACAGTCTGCTGTCAGCGACAGCAACTGGGTACAGACAGCCTGCCCTCGACGACAGCAACTGGGCACAGACCCTCCGCCGTCAGCGACAGCAGCTGGGTAGACAGTCTGCCCTTGGCGACAGCAGCTGCGCACAGACAGCCTGCCATCAGCGACAGGAGCTAGGTACAGACAGTCTGCCGTCGCGACATCAACCGGGTACAACTGGGTACAGGCAGTCGGCCCTCAGCGACAACAGCCGGCTGCAGACAGTCTGCCGACGGCGGGAACAGCTAGACAGTTATGTCATCGAGATGGTCATGCACCGGCACCGTACCAACGACGGTAGCTGGACACATCATTATCAACAGCACAATGCCAACAGCGGCTGGAGAAACAGCGCCCGTTAGCTGAAGCCCCGTCATCATAACAAATCCGCACATAAATCCGGCAACCACGGCAACCGGGTATTATACTTTTTACAGACGTCAGCCAGCTTGGCCACTGCACATGCAGCTGGCTGTGCACGGAAGCACTGCACGACTTACGTGTTTATGTAACGGAGGCGGGAGTGGCTACAGAAAATCACTACATATGTGTAGCGGTTAGTTCACAGCAGACACCCTAGACACAGGCATGGTTTTTTTAAACAGAGAACGTGATACTCGTCGTCGCGCCCCTTTCCTGGGGTGCCAGCGACTGCATAGGCCGTATTCACGCTCCGGGTCATGGCGCAACCGGGATTCGAACCCGCGCCCCCACGTGGAAGTCCGACACACTACCCACTTGGCCGCCACGACCCCGCAAGTGATGGTATCTACAAATATGCAAGTCGGTCCTGTCTTCCACAGATAAAAGCAAATTTTCATTTCTAAGCCAATCCGACAGGGCGCAATATGACGAAAATACGTGACACAGTGCAATACAGGCAATATGCTTACGCAGCATCCAACATACGCTGACATAAACTGGATTTACCAAAAAGCTGCTGGAAATAATATTTCGCCCGTAAGACATTCTTCCACGTTGCCCAGGGCACATGATGACGCACTGAGGCCATCCATGTTCGGTCGTCGCTCGTTATCTCAGAGTAATCGAAAACACTAGCGTGTGCACGCAGCTAAAACCAACATCGCCAGTACAACGCGTCAGGTTGGATGTACCATCCGCGGCAGCTCTTACCGTAGCCCGCGTAGCCCCAGCACGACACCCAGCCTCACGTACAATAAGGCTCTGCCGGCGTCGCCAGCTGACCAGCAAAATGACAGCCTGAGAGACTCGACATAGGCAAACCAGCGCGGGGGAAAAATGAGCCAACGTGCTTTAAAAAAACAAACAAAAAACGCCGAGGTGACTCGCCCGAGACGATCATACCTGAAACATTCTCGGTACGAAATATACTCTCACCTGCTACCTTTAAGCTCACGAGTTGCCGGGTTTATGCATAGACAGGGCCGTAAAAGTGATTGCGTCTCTTCGTGTTACGATTTGAATAGCTCGATTCATACATTCATACAACCATACTGGGATGACCCGCGGCCAGTGGCAGCGAATTCGCCGGAGGCCGGGTGACGTCAGAGGGCAGGACGGGCCGTATCGGGCACTGCGGTACGTTAAGCTCTCTTCACAAAGTCCTGTTGTTGACCCAGAATTTCACGATCGGGTAGTGGGATTGCGACCAAAGCAACAAGCACTGCCTGGCACGGGCGCTGCTCCAAGAGATAAATGCAATAAAAACGCTCGCAAAGTACTGAAGCGAAATGAATTCACTGAAGGCCAGGTGACGTCAGAGAGTGGGACGAGCCTTACCGAGCACTGCGGTAAGTTGAGCTCTCCCCACAAAATCCTGCCGTTGACCCCGAATTTCACGATCGGGTGGTGGGATAAGAGCCAAAACAACAAGCACCGTCTGGCATGGGCGCTGGCCCCAGATATAAATCCGATGAAAACGTTGAGGGCAAACTAAAAAAGAAGTTGTAACATTCCCGTCAACTGAGCATCAAACCCATTGGCATCTAAGCGTCTCGAGTACATCGCAGCGTGAAGGATGTGGTAGCCATGGATCAAATACCAGGCCGTAACATAAAGCAACAACCCCGCGTTACAAACGGCTGACTGGTGGACGTTTCCCCAGCCACACGTTCAGCAGCACGCCCAGTTCGCCACGCGGCCGGCGGCTGACCGACTCACCAGCAGGACCTCGCCGAGGCCGGCGGCACCCGTATCCACCGTTGGCGCGGAGTCGCGGTACATGAACATGGCCACGCCCACCACGATCAGCAGCACGAACAGGTACTTGCGCAGCGGGTACTGCTTGGCGCCCAGCAGCACGCCCAGCACCATCACCGGAATCGGCTTGCACGATTTGCCCACCACCTGTGACGGCGACAGCGGCGCTGTCAGAGCCGCTCTGCCATCCAGCAGCGCCACACGAGGATGAGTCGTGTCAAGGCGTCAAACCGACTGACCCCACGCGAAATCATCCGCTGCCCATGTCTGGAAAGAAGCGGCATCTTTGCTCACAGATTTTTATGGAATGATTGAGAGGTGGTGCAGTGCAGGGCATTAGTATTACGAATGGAATAGTCTTCCGCCCATCGCCCCCACCTGGTGTGTGAGCAAGTACGCAACGTTTCGGCCGGCTAATCACCCGGCCGGCGTCGCGTCATCCATCGTTGTATACATAATAACACATCAGACGAGGACGACAGCCCAAACAACTATTTCATCCGCTTTGTTCATGTGTCGTTTTTTGTGCCAGATATTCACTTATTACAAAGCAACATTTCCGCAGAGTTTGACCTCGGCATGGACCCTACCACGATGTCCCTACCGCGCGCTGTCAATGTGGCAAAGCCTGTGACGCGAGCGTCTGGGCGCCGTGCGCCCTCGCCCCACTCTCGCTCAGCAAAGGCGGCCATATTTCCGCCGTTCTACACCTGCAATTCTGTCCTCATGCCACACAAAATAAACCCCGGAAACTTTTCAAGGGACTTGTCTCTTCACAAGGCTTGACTGTGTGTGCTCCTGGGAAATTGCACCGTATCCGCCTGTCCCTATCACAAGCCAAAGCCACGGCACGTGGCCCACACATGAAGTCTTATAATCTTATCGTGAAGGCGTGCACTTCCGCCAAAGACACGTCACCATGACTCGCTGCGCGGTGAAAGCCAGTGAACGAAGTGAATGCAAAAGCCAGGACCGGGGGTCGAGAGCGCGATAACGTGGTGCGGCGAAGCTGGCACTAGCGTAGCCGACGGCGAAACACCGCCCGGTCCGTGAGCGTGCATCGAAGATGAGACACTGGTGTCTTCTGGCATGATACTTAAAAGGAACCAGTCAGTTTTGTGATGCCAGCTGAGAGTGATGAGCGATATGCGGTACAGTGTATAGCTTAAGAGCTGGTGATTAGCGTCCGTTCTGCCGCTGCCAACGCCAGCACAGATGGCTGGATAAAAGCCATGCTGCTGTATGGCTCCCACAGTCATCAAACTACAAATCTGGCATGGTGAAGATCCAGGCTCCATTTGCTTCCATCCACAATCCAACAGCAACACATAAGCTGCACCAGAAGCTGGCATCAAGCAATGACTTGATGCATGTTATCACTCATCAAACCAGATGCACATACCTGGGTGGGGTAGTTGACCCACTGGAGTGCCTTGTTGCTGAACACCATGGCCATGAGGTACGTGAGAGAGGCAGCACCATAGTAGTATGGACTTGTGTTATCCTCTGACGTTCGTAAGACAAATCGGTTCACTGTGTGGTAGCATGACCAAATGTCAGCACCACACATGGGACAATACAGATACAGATCAGCAACACCACCAGTAAATAACACACAATGCCCAAGTTTCTGACCCCTATCAATGCCCTTACACTGACACTGGCATCAGCACATGTGATAAGCTCATGACATACATCAAAACAAGTAAGTTATAAATGTGCACAAGTGGTGTTGTAACCATACTATTTTGTCCAAAACCATCTATGAAGTTAACAGTGGTGTTCAGGACTACCTGCTTTATATCAAATGGCTACAGTAACTGATATGAGAATGATCCCTGATGCTGGCACTATGTTATCAGAGATATCACCAGAACTGTGTTTAAATCATATTAATATGGCAGCATTCATCTACATGCAATAGCACCATGCCTGTATCCCATACAAAACATCATACCCACAGCCAGTTTCAAACACTTACAGGAAACAAACCCAGGAAACTTACAAAGTGCAGCATAGATGGTGTTCACCAAGCACTGAAAGCCGACAAGGGCAAGAACATAGGTGAATTTCTCTTGGATGTCACCATACTGGTAAGTTCCTCTGGTTCTGTGGCACAAGAAAATGCACAAATATGTTAATGGCCAAGCAGAGCATCTCTGCACATCACAAGGAGCATATAGTGGAAATGGTAATCTAACAAAACAATTAGAAATAAAGTTATTATAACATAACTGATACTCAAATACCAATCACAAGAGATTGAGTAGATAGTTTATAAAAAGTGATAAAAATATAGCTTTGCCCCATGCCGAACACTAGAAGCATTTGAATTGTTAAAGCCAAAAGGCCCATCATACAGGAAATGCAAACAAGCAAATACACACACAGGACAAAACTATCCACATGATCTGTGTACTTCAGCAAGGCTCCAAGGACTTATAACTGAAAGTGGGAATAAGCTACAATATAACTGATAGCAAATACCATTGTGATAAAACTGTGACAACTG